ACCACAGTTTGAAAGCATCAATTCTTCTACGCTCAGCCTTCTATATGGTCCAACTCTCACATTCGTACATCACTACTGGAATTGAAGTATAGTTGATTTACAATGTTGTGTTTGTTTCAGGTATACAGCAGAGTGATTCACTTGTGCATGCATGTGTATCTTTTTTTTTCTTTTTCAGATTATTGAGTATAGTTCCCAGTGTTATACAGTAGGTCCTTGTTGGTTATCTATTTTATATATAATAGTGTGTATGGGTTCAGAGAAGGCAATGGCAACCCACTCCAGTACTCTTGCCTGGAAAATCCCATGGATGGAGGAGCCTGGTAGGCTGCAGTCCATGGGGTCACTAAGAGTTGGACACGACTGAGCGACTTCACTTTCACTTTTCACTTTCATGTATTGGAGAAGGAAATGGCAACCCACTCCAGTGTTCTTGCCTGGAGAATCCCAGGGACGAGGGAGCCTGCTGGGCTGCCGTCTATGGGGTCGCACAGAGTCAGACACAACTGAAGCGACTTAGCAGCAGCAGCATGTATAGGTTAATCCCAAATTCCTAACTTATCTCTCCCCCACTTTCCTCTTTGGTAACCAGACATTTGTTTTCTATGTCTATGGGTCTGTTTCTGGTTTGTATATAAGTTCTGAGTTTTAATCTTAGTTTCCTTTTTTTCCCCTTTTTCAGACTTTATGAATGTCAGTTTTCTAGTGTTTATTTGCTTTGTAATCTTGGGAAACTTACTTTAGCCTTTTAAATTTCACATTCAACTCCAAAATGAGGAGGCCATCAGATAATCACATACAGCCCAAAGTGTAATGCCTGACATGCATGGTTACTCAGTAAACTCTGGCTGTTATGATCTTTATTTCATTAGTGTTATTGTCAACACTTACATGTTTGTTGCTCACCTTGATCTTTTAATATATAACAGTATTTGCATTAGGTAACTTTGTTTTAAAAATCTCCTGTTATGTTATATTTGAATTTATAAAAGTTTAAATTGACATGGTAAAAATCACCATAAGTAAAGTCAAAAGACAGATGACAAACTGGGGGAAAATATATTTGCAATTCATCATGCAAGTAGTTCATTTCCCTAATAGATAGAGAACTACTACTCAATTTTTAAAAAATGGACAGTTGTAAAGTTTTTTTATGGGATGTGCTTCCACTTAACTGTGCTATAGATTTCGTGCCTTTCATTTATATTCTTAGAGCATAGCAGGCAAACCCTTGGCTGGAGAAGGGCTTGAGACACACAGCTAAAGATACGGACCTGCATTGTTTTTGTTTTCCCTGTAAAATCGCTCCCACTCAGAAATGTTCTGCTACTATCACTGGTGCCCTCACATACCTTTTACCCTGTCATCCATGACTTTTCTCATCTCCTGTATCCTCCTTCATATCCAGAAATCACAGAGTCTGTTCTCTGTTTCATTCATAGTATTTCACATCTGCTCCAATCTTTCTAGGCCCACTACTACTATTTTTAGTCAAGAGACACTCAGTATGTCACAACTTAAATACTACTCTAGTCTCTTTTTCTTTATTCTCTTGTTCCGTTCCCCAGTTAGCACAATATATATCACACCCAGATTAATTTCCTTTGGTTTTCATCTTGGGCCCCTAGCTTCCTCAGAAGCCTTCAGTGGTTCCCACCATCTAGAATGAAGTCTTACTTCTGAATCTCACCCTCAGGAACCCCCCTTAATCTGATTCACCTTCCTTATGTCTCTAGCCTTAGTGCTTCTCACTGCCTCTTTTTAGGAACCCCCCATACATCTAAACTGATCTCCTTGACCCTCCAGACCCATTTCTGCCTTCATGCTGCCCTTCCTCCTCCTCTTCTCTAAGTCTTAGACTTGCTACAAGGCCCAATTCAGTTTCTGTCTCTTCTAATGGGCTTGTCTAGAGACCGAGCCCTCTCCATCGTTTTCTTACCTCCCATTGCATTTAATGATTGCCTGTACCTCTCCTCTCACACTTAACCTTTACTGTCTATATTGTTTTAGGTAAACTTTTTAATTGAATACATAACACAGTAACTTGTCACAAGGTGAACACACCCATGTCATCAACATGCCTCTCTTCTGATACATACCCTGTCTCCCTAACCAGATGGCCTGGGATACAGCACCACGTCATATGCCTCTTTGCAAGAAAAAGCACATCATCAGGTGCTCAGTGACATTCCAGATCAAAAATCTGATTCAAGACTAGGCTTTGAAAAATAAGAAACATAGAAATTTAAAGGAATGTATGAAATTTCTGTTACTAATAAATTTTTTCTTCACAAGTAATTACAGTTGAGGTACAATTAGAAGTAATAACATTGAGTAAGTCCTCAAGGATTCCTAGGCAGTGATCTATAAATAAAATCTTTATATCCGTCTAATCAAGGCCATGTTTTCTGTTTTCCAACACAAAGTACACAGACATTTTAAACATTTGTTTTTGTTGTCATTTTATCCAACAAATATTTATTGATCATATGCAGTCTCCTGGCTACAGTTACAGCCTATAGTGGAATTCAGCTTTGAAGAACATAAAATACCCTTCTTTCAGAGTGCTTATATTTCAATGAATCACTAGAAATAATTGGCAGAACTAAAACAAAAGCTTAAGACTGAAGATATAACAATGACTAAAAATAAAATAACTATGAAAGGTTGTTACTAAATCATCATAAATACACAGAGAGAACAAGGACATGGGGACAGAAAAGGCCAAAATGAAGCTTTACACTGCAGTAGGGACTTTGGATAAGAAATTCATTTGATTAAGATGTTACCACATGTGTAGAAGAAGATGGCGACCTATGAAGGTAGAATAAGGACAGGTTTTAAAAAGTGCCTGCAGTGGGGGAGACCTGGGTTCAATCCCTGGGTTGGGAAGATCCCCTGGAGGAGAGAAAGGCTACCCACTCCAGTATTCTGGCCTGGAGAATTCCATGAACTGTATAGTCCACGGGGTCGTAGAGTCGGACACAACTGAGCGACTTTCACTTCACTTCATCACTTCAGAAAGAGCAGAGAGATGTTGTGAACATCATAGGCAATATTTACTTTTCAGTAGTGCTTTGCATTTTATAAGGAAGGTACTTTGACTTGTTCATCTTTTTGAGTCCTTGCCCTTTATGATCTTGTATTGTGGGTGGTGGTGTCTGTCCACAGCTCTCACACGGCCTGTTGAAAGTTTAGACTGACTTCACCCTTCCCACCCACTGCTCTTGCCTTAGAGAAGCAAGAGAATTTGTGTTCAGTCTGCTGTTTCAGTTTTGTAATTAGTTCATTGAAATCACATCCCAGCTAACTTCATTATAGTTGTATTTACTCTTCGCTTCAAACCTAAAGCATGAGAAATCTCCCTGTCAAATCATGCCAAAGTGAAGTCACAGATAAATACCTTCCAGCTCCTAGCTGTGGTGTCTCCATCACATGGAAACATAGGCACAAAGAGGAGAACCATGGGCTGCTAATCCCTAAAAAGTAACTCGTTGGAAGTATTATGAGTTCCCTTTTAGTTTTGTTTTTGTCTTGTTTTTCATTGCCCATTTGGTTATGTCTTTTTTGTACCTAGAAGGCTTCAGTTTGTAAAGCTACAAATCTGTTGGTCTTGTTGACATGGTTTTCACTTTAAATTAATGTTCAGCAAAGGGGATTAGCAAATAAACATTTCAGGCAGTAATTTTCTTACACAAAAGGGTAGATATGGTTTGAACAGGCTGCCAAAGCCAAGAAGAGAAGTTAATTGTGTAAATCAATGCAGGCAAGAGCTGATCACCTTTCTGAAAGACAAGACAATGCAGCACACAACCTCTAAATAGATCTTTGGGGTCAAGTTGATGTCATGTTGAAGAATCAATATTTACTGGGCTTTATAAAGTTGGCCTTTAATGAACCCCAGGCATTTTGCTAGGACATTAATTGCAGGAAGAGAAAAGGTGACAATGGCTAAAGTCCATGGCTGTAGAGAGAGTATAAAAATAAGGGAAGAGACACGATAGTCGCTTGCTAGTGTGCAAAGGTCTCAGCGTTAGGTTCTATTCAAGCATTGTAGGTTCACATACTGAAAGGCTTTCTTGGGATCATGCTGACATTTAAGAAAGAGCAACTCTTGCATCCTAACAGAAAAAGGGCAGCCCTTTGCTCTTTGACACTCCTTATCTAAGCATTGTAGCTTAATTTTCTTGGGATGAATTCTGATGTCATTTTGCATTCTGCCTTGTAAATGTGCTCATCACAGGAGTAGGTCTTTCTCAGAGTGTGGCTCATCCCTTCTTCTGACAAAGCTGAAAGCTTTTAAAATAAAGAATTGTAGTAAAGAGCATTTGCTTTAAGATGCTGGCTTGAATCCAAAGTCTAATGAAAGGTTTTTGATAAACATTATCATTTGTACTTGTTATGTCATTCAATAGAAGTGTTTCCCTGGCTGTTTTGTGTGTGAGAGTGTTCTGAACTCCTCACTAGGTTATCAAAATCATTTGTAGGGCAGGAACCTTATCTTCTGTTTATTTTAGTCACTGTTTCTAATAAATGTTGTTGATAAGGTAGAGGAATGTATTATATCAAATTTTATCCTGGCTGTAACAAAACTTAACATTCTTCATGGTCAGTAACTGAAGGTCCATAGAAGCAACTTTGTTAGGCCCTGTGAATCAGGGTATGGCCCCAGGATGTTTGTTACAAGTTCTTCCTCATGTCTCCTCAATAGACACACTTTGGAGTTGGCTTCTCAGACCTCTTTCTCTAGTGAATTTTGTCCCAGGAGTCTTTTCAATCAGTTGACGAAGAGTTGCTGTTTTTTCCTCACTCCCATTCCCGTCCATGCTCTCTAGGATCATTTTTCAGATGAGAATACTGAGAAACAAAGCATAAGCCGTTTGTTGGGATTGTTGTGGACACACAGAGCAAGAGATTTTTACAAGAGAATCTGATGTTTAATATTTTTGTCTGTGATTTTCTTTGGATACTCATTCTGGGTTTTTATTTTTCCTTTTCAGCTATTTGAGAACTTCTACTTTGGTACCCTAAAGCTCAATTCAATTCACATCTCTCAGAGGTTCACAGTAGACAGCTTTGGAAACTATGCCTCCTGTGGACAAATTGACTTCTCCTGAGGTGGATCTTGGGAAGCACTGGAAGTTAAACATCCTCACAAGGTGCTGAGGGAGAAATGTCATCTGTGGAACATTGCTTGATAACTTCCCTGGGTGGCTCCCCGAGGATGCCATGGTGTCTAATGGTTGTCCACAATCACCACACTGTCAGCCAGGATAGTTTTGGGCATGGGGAGAACATGTGCCTGTAACATATGCCTGTTCATCTTTCACAGAATGTATCTCTCTTTCCAAAGCTCTTCTCTGGAAGTGTACCTCTGAAGCCCATTGGAGCTCAGACTTGCAGTATTTCTTATATACCTACTGATTCTTCCCCAGCCTTTAAACTCTTTTGTATTAATACTTTAAGAGAATTATAGATCTTATTAATCTCTCCACCTAGATCAAATATCAACAAATTCTAGAAGGTTTGTATTTTTCCCTTCCTCTTACGCTCTTAACTTTTAATCAATACCCAGAATTTCTTTTTCATTGTGGTAAAAAACACAGAGCATAAACTTTACAGTCTTAAACCACTTAAAAGTGTATAGTTCAGTAATTTTAATTATATTAATCTTGTGAAATATCTCCAGAACCTTTTTGTCTTGCAAATCTGAAACTCTGTACCCATTAAAAAACTCTTATTTTCCCCTTGCCTCCCGGCAACCACTGTTTTACTTTCTATGTCTATGGATTTGACTACCTCATATAAGTGGAATCATACAATATTCGTCTTTTTGTGACTGGCTTATTCTTCTTAACATAATGCCCTCAAGGTTTATCTATATGTAGCATGTGTCGGGACTTCCTTGCTTTTTAAGAATGAATAGTATTCCATTGGATGTGTATACAGTCATCCCTCAATTTCCCTTGGTTCCAGGACCTCCCTCTGTATCTGTGGATTCTCAAGTCCCTTGTATAAAACAGTATAGTATTTGCATATAACTTATACATACCATCCTGGATACTTTAAATCATTTCTAAATTACTTATAATACCAAATACAATGTAAATGCCATGTAGATAGTTGCCGGCACACAGTAAATTCAAGTTTTCCTTTCCATAACTTTCTGAATGTTTTTGGTCCACAGTTGACTGACTCCACGGATGTGGGATCCATGGATGTGTTGAGGGCCAATTGTACTGCATTTTGTTTATCCAGTTCTTCGTCGATGGACACTTGGGTTCCTTCCACCTTTTGGCTGTTGTGAAGAATGCCCTGTGAACGTGGGTGTACAAATTAATATCTGAGACCCTGCTTTCAGTTCCTTTACTACTTAGAATTTTAACTTAAGCAAAATAACTGGTAGAGGTTTTAACTTCTTACTTTGATCTGTCCTTTTTCTTCTGAGGTTGGTCCCTTTTATGCTTAGTCAACTCCTGTTCCTTCACCCTCCCCTAACCCTTGTCTTCCGGTACCACTGATGGAGCTGCAGTATTGTGGCTCTTTTCTGTTTACTTCCCAGGGCAGCAGCAATTGAAACAATGATGATATCAGCAGGACTGTGCAAAGTTTCCCAGGACAATGTCAGCCACAGAAGGCACTCCTTTGCTGCAGACGGGCAGAGGGCGGGGGCTCCTCTGCTTAGCCCCACCCATCAGCCCTGCCACGTTCTCTGCTAGGGAGCTCCAGCCTCACTGTCACCTCTCATCCCTGCCCCCTCACAGCTTTCCTCCCTCCATGGCCTCTGTCTTTCCTTCACTCCTTAGTCTCATCCTGATTTCTTACTTTCTGTTTGAGAAGTCTGATTCTGAACCCCATGTGTTAATAAGACCACTAACTGGTAAGACTGTATGTAACACTCGGATTTGTTATCATTGGGACAGCACAGATCATTTGTGAATAAATGGATTTCTAAAGTGACTGTGTTTTCTTTTGGTATTCCTGTTTAGTTTTAGTTTGACCCCCTTGGTGTACATCGGGATACAATGCTGCCATCACTTATTCACTGGCATAGCTATTTTATTCTTCCAAGACTTAATATTGGTGCTTGCAGGGTTGGTTTTTTCCCCAGAAAAGCTTTCTACAGGTAATACTCAGTTTTTATTTAAGTGGAGCTTTTACTTCACTCACCTCTGATTGTTCGATGGTGTATGGGAATAAGTGCTCCCAGGGGTGGTACTGAATAGCAGAATTGACTGTGGAGTTGAGTGCCCTCATCTCATCTTGGTACTGCTTCTGTCTAACTGGCTTTTTTCTGACAGCTACCATCCCAGGAAATAAAGATGTCTTCTTTTGAGTATCAGAGGTACGATTTCTGTTTTTAGAAATAAAATTTTTGTTTTTGGAAAATGTAACTTTATATGTTCTTGTTGTTTAGTTGCTAAGTCATGTCTGACTCTTTTATGACCCCATGGACTGTAGCCTGCCAGGCTTCTCTGTCCATGGGATTTCCCAGGCAAGAATACTGGAGTGGATTGCCAGTTCCTTCTCCAGGGGATCTTCCCAATCGAGGGATTGCACCCATGTCTCCTGCATTGGCAGGCAGATTCTTTACCCCGAGTCATAAATTCTTAACAGAAATTCTGTTATTTAGTATTTAGAGGTAACCAAGCATATAAGGACTTAGCATTACTGTTAAGTGGAATTTTTCAGCAGCTACATGATAAGGTGGCATCATCACTCTAATGGTTAATAATGTGTGTGTATTTTTGTGTTTTGTAGAATTTTGTAGTTATCGGTAGAATTGGGGGGGAATGTGTTTATGTTTTAATTTTTTTTTTTTTCTGGATGCTAGTAGACAAATTTTTGAGACACCATAGCTCTAAAGAAAGTACACTTTTAACAACTATTGTGGAGAGGGAGTAGCAGGTAGTTTTGATGTATAACAGAAATTTTATGAAGAGCAACAGTGTAAGCAAATAATTTTTGATGGAGCTAACAGAATTGTTTAAGACTCCAAGTCCTCTTTCACCAAACTGTAATGAGGTCAAGGTTGGAGGATTTGATCTCTACTTATAATCCAGTATCCCTTAGTGTTACCAATTTGCAGTTCATTCTGCACTGAAATAGAGTTAAGTTGCAGCTAACATCGCTCCGGTTGACTTTTAAGGCACCACTGGCTTCACCCTTAACTCTTTTAAGAAGAGGAGGGGGAGAAGAATCTCTTACCACGATTGTTACATGAGATCTGTGTTGTTATAAAAGGAATTTTGTTATGGAGAATAATTTTGTGGGTTTTTTGGATGGGGCATAATGAGTTACCCCCAAATAAACTCCATACCCTTGGTAGAGACATGATAAATCTTACTTATAATGGTTATTTTTTAAGTGAACTTCAGAGTTTATTAAACTGGACACTGATGAGAATCCAGCTTCATAATGACACAAAGCTTAGTTCAGGTTTGCCCTTGCACTCTGCCATTTTCCTGGTGCTAAAGGGAACCAGAGGGGTATGAGTTAAGGAACACCTCTCAGATTCTGTCTTTATGCCTGCAGCAAGATGAATAGCAAAGCCCAAGGATGCTATAGGTAAGAAAAGGGGCAGTTGTTGTGTTTGTTTATCAATAACTTTGTTGTTAATAAAATGATCTCTTAAAGGTAATATAAGCTTACTGTGTGAAAAATCATCAAGCTATATACTTTAATGTCTGAAACTTTTTCCAGTGTGTGTGTTGTGCTTCACTTTAAATATTCATTTAAAAAATAAATCTCCTCATCCACAGGCTACTACTTCTTATGCATTTAAGCACATATGTCATATTGCTAAGTTATTTTTCACAAATGATAACAGCTAATATTAACAGAATATTCACATTTGTCATTTATTTGTAAATAATGTGTATTTATTCATTAAATCTTCACAAGCCTACTTCAGTTGGTGTTGAAGTGAAGTGAAGTGAAAGTTGCTCAGTTGTGTCCAACTCTTTGTGACCCCATGGACTATACAGTTCATGGGATTCTCTAGGCCAGAATACTGGAGTGGGTTGCCTTTGTTTTCTCCAGGGGATCTTCCCAACTCAGGTATCGAACCCAGGTCTCCCACATTGCAGATGCGGGAGCTGAGCTATCAGGGAATCCCTGATAAGTCAATAAGTTGGTGTTATCATACCTCATTTTAGAAAGTGAGATTTAATAAGGTTAAGAAATTTGCCCGAGGTCATAAAGCTTGTATCTGTGGTTCTCAAAATGTAATTTTTGGACCCCTCAGAGTCCCTGATTCCTTTAGAGGGGTGAGAAAATCCTACTATTCTCATGAAAATACTAAGATTATAATTTGCCTTTTTCACTCTAATTCTCTCCTGAGTGTACATTGGAGTCTCCAGAGGCTATGTGATATGGTAACATCACCACACTGATGGTTAATAGAATAGTATATGTGTATATTCTTATGTTTTCTGGAATTTTATAAGTTGGTGGTTTTAGGTTTTAGATATGTTTTTTAGAGATAGTTTGCTCTCAGTACTTCTGCTGTGCTATTACTAGCTACTTCCCGTTATACCTGCTGTTATGGGCTGAATTGTGTCCCCTGAGAATTCATATGTTAAAGCTCTCACCCCCTAGTACCTCAGAATGTGACTATTTTGAGATAGCGCCTTTAAAGAGGTAGTTAATTTAAAATGAGGCTGAGGCTGTTATGGTGGGCCCTAAGCCAGTCTGACTGATGTCCTTATAAGGAGAGGAGATTTGGGCACGTGAAGAAACACTGGACCCCAGACTACCAATATCGGTCCCTGGGTCTGTCTTCAAAAATGTTTGGTTGATAATATTACCTAATAACTGGTGATTAGAAGGGTCTGAGAATGACAGTGAAACTGACCAATATGGAACAGACAGGGCCAGACTGAAGAAGTTCCCTTTGCCTCTGCCCAGATCATCAAAACCCTCAAGGAATGTCCAAGAGACAGGAAGAAGCAGAACATTGAGTACAGTGGAAATACAATTTTTGATGAGATTGTCAGCATTGCCCAGCCAATGTGGCACTTATTTTTAGTTCAAGAACTGTCTGGAATCATTAAAGAGATCCCAGGAACTGCCCAGTCTGTGGACTGCAATGTTGATGGCTGCCGCCCTCAATGACATCATGGATGACATCAACAGCGGTCCAGTGGAATGCCCTGCTAGTTAAGGACAACAAAGGAAAATACGTCAATAAAGGATCGTTTGATAACCAGAAAAGAAAGAAGCGTCAGCTATGTGCATGCACAGAGCAAAGACCAGGTGTGATAATAAGAGGGCAGACATCTGCAAGCCAAGAGGAGATAAGAGAAGCCAAGTCTCCCAGCACCTTTTTCTTTTTTTTGGCTGTGCCCAGGATTCGAACCCAGCAGTGAAAGCAGAGTCTTAACCACTGAAATACCAGGGAATTCCCAAGTCTGCCAACACCTTAATTGTGAACTTCTAGCCTCCAGAATTTATTGAAAAAATAAATGGTGTTTAAGCCACCCAGTCTGTGGTATTTTGTTATGGCAGCCCTAACTAACAACACTTGCTATAATGCAGAAGCTAATCTACCTTTTTTCCTTGGACCAGACATTAAAGAGATTTGCCAAAGTATAAAACAGTACTACATTTTGTGGGGAGTAGGGTGGGGAATATAGTTTTTTTCCATAAAATACATTATTTTGTTAATATGAGTCAGTGTTGTTATTCTTAAATAAACTTTTTGGATGTGAGAGTTGGACTATAAAGAAAGCTGAGCGCCGAAGAATTGATGCTTTTGAACTGTGGTGTTGAAGGAGACTCTTGAGAGTCCCTTGTACTGCAAAGAGATCCAGCCAATCCATCCTAAAGGAGAGCAGTCCTGGGTGTTCATTGGAGGGACTGATGTTGAAGCTGAGACTCCAATACTTTGGCCACCTGATGCGAAGAGCTGACTCATTTGAAAAGACCCTGATGCTGGGAAAGATTGAGGGCGGGAGGAGAAGGGGACGATGGAGGATGAGATGGTTGGATGGCATCACCGACTCAGTGGACATGGGTTTGGGTAGACTCCAGGAGTTGATGATGGACAGGGAGGCCTGGTGTGCTGCGGTTCATGGGGGTCACAAAGAGTCGGACACGACTGAGCAACTGAACCGAACTGAATATTAATTTTTCCTTGGAAGATCTTTTAGTGCAGTTTAAGGTTCACAGAAAAATTGAGAGGCCGGGTTTTTTTTTCAAGTACAGTATATCAGTGTCTATACTGTATATCTCATACAAACAAAAACAGAAGTTCTTTGGAATCCTCTATAATCTTACAGTGTACAGGATTCCTGAGACCAGAAATCTGAGAACTGCTGCATGTGTGTGCATGCTCAGTTGTTCAGTGGTGTCCAACTCTTGGTGACCCTTTGAGCTGTAGCCCACCAGGCTCCTCTGTCCATGGGATTTTTCAGGCAAGAATACTGGAGTGGGCCGCATTTCCTCCTTCAGGTGATTGTCCCAACCCAGGGATCAAACCTCAGTCTCCTGCATTGCAGGCAGATTCTTTATTGCTGAGCCATCAGGGAAGCCCAACCTGTAATATACGGTCTTCTATAATAAGCTTTCGTTACCGGGTAACACGCAGTGGATCACATTAGTTGTCAATAGATACAGAGTTACATTATTTTTAGTGTCTGCAGGATAGCCTTTTGTATGTTTTTATAATTTAACTAGTTGATCCGTAACTAATGGACATTGATTTGGTTTCCAGGTTTGGCTATTTTAAATAATTCTGGATTGAATATCTTTGTATTTTTATGTCTGTGAGGTCATCTAGAAATGAGGTTAAATGGTTTTAAAGATGTGGTTAAATTTAAGTTTCTTATTTGGAAGCTAAGGCCCTTCTTCCATTTTGTATTGCTCAATATTAAAAAAAAAGAAAAAAACATATGTACCATTTATCAAATATACCCAGCAGCTTTGAGGCCCTTTGAGGACCTGCCAGTAAGTCTCTCAAAATTTAGGAGAACCTTTTCTTCTTTATAAACTATAGTTATTGTCCACTTTCTACAACTGTTTTCTTATCTGGAAATTTGAATTTTCTCTAAGTAGCTTTACAGTAGAATTAACAGCTCTGGATTTTTGTTGATTTGCCCGTGGCTAATATTGACCCATCTTGAAGGTGCTACAGAAGGCAAGTCCCATTGGTGGCATTACCCAGGAATATGGGAAACATGTTGACCTTCAGGGGTCTGGAAACAGCTATTGTCTTATTGATGGGCATCTTGTTAAAGCCTTTCAAACTCTTTATTGGGCAACCATAGTGATTCCAGAAGACCAGGGACTTCATAAGATAGTATTGAAGATGGGAGATGGGAGGTGTATGGTATCTAGGTTCTGCCTCCTTAATGACTGGGAGACACATAACTAGCTTTGCTAAAAGACTAGGATTGAAATGGAAAAAGATAGCAAACGTTAGTGTGTATTCAGAACTATGGGACATCATAGCTACCTCTTCTCAACCTGCGGGAAAAAGAAATAGCATTTTAGAAATGTTCACTATGCCCAGGCACTTAGTATTTAATTTTGCATGGATTCCACAGCAGTCTTCTGAGGTGAGTGGCATCATCATTAATTTATAGATAGAAAATAGATTGGGTATTTTTGCCCAAGAACCCAGCTAGTAAGAGGGGGTCCGCCCCCAGTCTATATGACAACAAATTATACCTTGGGGCTGTGTACAACCGGGCAAGGCAAGGCTCCTGTATTTACTGTGAGATGAAAGCATCAATGGCCAGGGCCTCATTGCAGCAGCACCTCTTAAGTCCAGCTGCAAAGGAAAAAGAAAACATGCAAAGGGAGCTATTGTTTTCTGTTTTCCGGAGGGACCCCAGCCCAAGCCATTGATGCATTCAGAATTCCCAGGCAAGCCAGACTCAGGGTGCCTGTGAACCTTGTAACCTGTGTTTTTTCTCCCTATCGATTAAGATCATGTTGTTTCATTACCTTTGATTTCTTCTTTTTTTTTTTTTTTAAGTTTCTTTGTTTTTTAAATAAAAACAATCCAGGGCTTGGATTCCAAAAGTTTAATATGTTTTGTCCTGTCAGATTATCTGTTTCCTCTTCAATTTATTTGTGATACAAACCTCGCCCCATTTCTGCTCTGATCCTGGGACTGTGCCCAGAAATGTGTATGTCAACACATTTCTAAAGGCAGTGATAAAGATCACGATTTTAACAAAAACACCTCAAAAAAACCAGCCTCCCTACACCCCTGTCCCCAGTGACTTACTAAAGTCAACTCGAAGTCAAAACCGTAGCAAATGTGCCTAGTTCAGATTTGAAGCCTCAAGGCAGATGAAATGGCCAGACATTTGCCTTTTAGGGTTGCCCTCAGAAGAGCTAACAAAAAGGGTGACAGCCTTTAAACAGCTGCCTGGGGAGGAGGACATCTGCCTCTGTTTTACCAGCTATTCAGTGCTCAGGCCTTGCCTTGAAAAGAGCATGTGGGGCTTGGCAGCAATAGTTCTGAGGCAGCCAGTTGTTATATGGCTTTTGTCTTAACGAAGCCACCCATTATTGTAGAGCCATAACTCGCAGGAAGCCAGCTGTCAGGGCTATGGCGCAGGCCCTTCTGGGTGGGAGGCAAGGGGAGAGAAGGGTGTCTCTGGCCAAATTCCCTTTTAGACACCTGAGCCTGGTTGGCTTTGTAACCAGAGAGTTTTGTCTTTTCCTCACTCCCATCTTCCCTGAGGAGGATCTGGCACCGGTTTTGCTCTCTACCCTTGGAGAGACAGCAGGGACATCTTGAGATTTGGATTCCTTGGTTTGCAACTGCCTAAGTGCTGGGATGGGCTGGGCTGGGCTGGGCTCTGCAGCGGCTGACTGGCATTTGGCGCTCCGATTAAGCGCTTCCCTTTGAAATCTACGCCCTCTTTTTTTTTTTTTTTTTTAAACCAGGTATGATGATGTCAAACGTGATGCTGATGCTACAGTTACAGACACGGCCCCTGCTGGCGCAGCCTCTCTGATTCTCTCTTCCTCTCCACGTCCAGCGCTGGTTTTTTTTTTTTTTTTTTTTTCAGACAAGTGCATCTCCTAACCAGGTCACATTTCAGCAGCGACCCACTATCCGTCTGTCATCAGAGTCAGACCGCAGGAGGAAGGCTGAGGAAGACGAGGACATTTGCCTCGCCAGCTGCGGGGTGGGAAGAAGGACATTAAAATACTGCAGAAGTCAAGACTCCCCCACCCTCCAGGTCGAATTCAGACCACGATGTGCGCTCGGGGCTGCGGGCGGCTGGCGCTGCCGCTGCTGCTGCTTTCGGCAGCTGCCCTGGCCGAAGGCGACGCCAAAGGGCTCAAGGAGGGCGAGACCCCCGGCAATTTCATGGAGGACGAGCAATGGCTGTCGTCCATCTCGCAGTACAGTGGCAAGATCAAGCACTGGAACCGCTTCCGAGATGTGAGTCTGCAGGGCCGAGGGGGCCGAGGGTCCGCGCGGGGATTTAGGGAGGGGGCTTCGGAGCAGAGACCCTGGGGCCAGGAGTGAAGGCTGCCCATGGCAGCCACAGGCTCCCGCAATTATCCCAACCGGATAATTGCAGAGTGAACAGCGCGCACACACCGGGCTCCTGAACCCCTTCCTCATATTCCCCTCAGCCCCGGAGCTGGCGGGCTTGGGACACTCAGTCCCATACATACACGCCCCAAGCGAGGAGTTGCTCTAGGGGCGTGCGTTAGCGATAAGCTCTCCTCTGCAGGCTGGATGCGGAGAGGGGTGCGGGATGCGGAGGTTAGGGGGAGGAGGCAGGGAGGGAGGCACGGGGGCCCTGGCTTTGGCTGGGTCCCTGACCTACTCCTCTCTCTCTCTCTTTTTTTTTTTTTTTTGATGAGCCACCCCCAGGTGTCCCCAAGGTGGGTGGGGGCTGCAGGTTCCACATACGGGCCACTGCGGAAGGGGCAGGTCTGGGTGGGGCCGGCGGGGAAGGCAGCATCTTCCTGTGCTTATCCTCTGTTTCCATCTTGGGCTTTGGGGTGGGGGCGACAGAAAGGACCGGCCCGCGGTTGGCGCTTTGAGTTGGGGTCAGGGGGGCGCTCTGAGCAATCCTCCTAAAGGCGAGATGGTGAAAGGCGTGTCCGTCCGTCCGTAATGGGGGGCGGGTGACGGCAGTGAAAATACCATAGGCCACCTCTGGGTGGCCGCCAGAGCCAGGTCTGGGGTTCCCATTGAGGGACGCGAGCACTAATGGAGGATAATTTTCCAGGACCAATCTTTCAGGGGGGAGAACGACCCAGAAGTTGAACCTCCAACCTGGAGGGAAGACTCCCAAGCTCACTGGACTTGAAAAGAGCAGCGAGCCCAGTAGCTGGGTTGGGGGACCCTTTGCATATCCCCGCTGGAACCCAGCTTAACCTTGCGCGGAACTTTGCCGTGTAGGGGGTGTGGAGGTGGTTGCGGAGGAGCAGGCAACGCTGCAGCACTCTGTTTACAAGCACCTGTAGATCAGAGGGGAAACTGAAGGCTGCCTTCTTCCCAGAAGGGGAAGTAGGAGTGAGGAGGGGCGCGTAGAGGGCGTGGCTGGGACCCAGGGAAGGGTGGGGGCGGGATGTGAGGTGGAGGATGGGCCCGGATGCTCCAGAGAAGAGATGCTGGTGTCTGCCACCCGGTGCTCTCCAGCGCCCTAACTCCAGAAAGCCTCTTCTACGACCCCAGTTCTTGCTTCTCCAGTTCAGTTCCCCAGAGTCCCACATCAGACCCACCTAGTATAACACCGTGACCTTTCTCATCTTATATTGTATGCATCCAAAAGTTCCTTAGCAATGCGTTTAGAACAAACATGCTTCATGTGATAACCAGCCAAATGATGGGAACAGGCAGATACGCATCTTTTTGTTACCCTTAAACAAATGACTGTTTATCTCCAAAGTCAAACTGGTGGGTTGTAATTCATCAGAAGGACTCACTGGCTGCCTGGTCCTCAGGGCTGAGTGGCCTGGGCCCCAGCCTGCGGTTTGCCCCACCCATGGCTGGTTCAGCGACAGGAACCTGGCAGTCCAGCAAGGCCTTTTCCGAGTCCCCTGCAGGCCCATCGAAGATTAACTGCAGTCTCCTGCCGCTGCCTGGGAAGCAGTCCGGCCATAGCAGTGAGAGGGTGGCAGCAGGCTGGCCCGTCCTGAATCCATGTGTCACTGGTCCAGACCTCCCTCTGACTCTCTGGCGGTTTGATTTTCCAAAATGGAACTGGTGAAGGTCAGAGGGGAAAGAAATGCTTAATCAGAGCAGTACAAGTTTAAAAATAAAAGATTCCTCCCCACCTTCCTTCTTCCACTGACTTCCAATAGCCAACTCTGTGGGTGAGGATAAGTGACTGACTCCGTGACCCCCTGGCATGGGGCTGCCCACCTGTCTCCCTGTACTGGTGCTAGTCACTTCCCCCTTCCTCCCATACTCATCTGAAGAAAGGCGCCAGAATGAAATTCTGCAGGATCTGCCTCCATAGGATTCATGGAAAACTTCAAGGCATGTAATGGTTTAGGTGGTCTCAGGCACTTTATAGGGTAGATTTCCTCTAACACCCCATTTAAGGTAGCCCTGGCTATAGGAGAATAGTGTCAGGGAGAGAAGGAGGACAAGGAAGACTGGGCAGGAGGGCCTGGCTGAAGGGATTCTTTGGCAGCCTCTGCAGAAATGCAGGAGGCTACTAGCTCAGAGCCACTGCACTGCATAACTCTAGGGGTGCCATCATGTGAATGATGCCCCTGGAGTTGTGCAGTGCACAGACCATACCCAGGGGCCATGCCAGGACTGCAGACCATTGTCATCCCTCCTCTGTGAGTAGAGGCCCCACTTTCCACCCTAAGGACTGAAGGCCTTCTAGTTGGGCACAGTAGCATTGGGCTTTATGTACCTTTCATCAGGCAGGCTTTCTTGAAACTCTTCTTGGCTCCTCAAAAGTGAGGTAGGAGTTTCTCTTGAACCTCTAAGGCGTTGCCAGGTTGAGCCAGAATCTTGTTGATTATCAGTCACAAAATGGTGCAGGGCCCCTACTCTGCCTTGGTGCAAGGGAGGCACGCAAGCAGAGGGAGTGGAATATTCTTGAGGAAGAGGATCAAGGAGTCAGCGTGGGTGGGGGCAGTGTCTCACTGAATGGTTGGACCGAACTGAGGGTGGGGAGATTGAGGGAATCACATCGAAGAGGTCGGGAGAACCAAGAAGAGAAGGAAAGCATGGCCAATGCTCCAGTGTGGAACTGGTCTGAGCTGGTCAGCCGGAAATTCAGCTTAGCATTCTTCCTCTGAGCAGTAGGATTATTGGGGGCGGGGGGTGTTGTGAAGGGCTTACCGACAGAGTAATCCTCCTCTCCAGTGGGCTTGGGGCTCTCACATGTGTCTGGATAGATCGCTTCTAATGCCTCATGTCCTGCTTCCAGGGAGGAGGGAATTTCAAGTCAGAGGAGCTGGGATCTGGCTGTGCCCCACTCTGTGCAGGCCTGGGCTTTTCGGAGCCCTGCTCCCCAGTGCTCCCATCTCTCGATTTAACTCCCTGCAGAAGTGGGTGGATTTTACTGCAGTCTTTGGAACAAAGCATCCAGGACCTCATAGAGATGGACACTTGAGAGGAGACAGGCCATTACACAGCATTCTTCCAAGCAGGCTCCGAGAGCTGGCTGGACAGTGCTGACTCCTCTTTATCTTCCTGGCTCTTCTCTGCTCTGTACTCCGCTTCGGTTACATTTTAATGATATTTATGAGTGTCCAGCACAGTGTTGGGCACCTGGGAGGCATATACCACTGGTTGTAGGGGGTGTTTACATCTGCCAGTCCCTGCAGTCAGCACTTTATCCCTGTTCTCTCTCGTGCCTCCCCTACCCGCAACAACCTGTGAGATAGTTACCATTACTTTGTAGTCTACCCATTTTACAGTTGAAGAAAAGGAGGCACAGAGAAGCTGAGTAATGTATCCACTATCAAATAGCTAGCAAACGGCAGAGCTGGGATTTGAACCCAGGTCATCTAACTCAACTTTGCTTTTCAAGAACTCTCGGCCTAACCTTTAGTGGAGATGGAAGAGAAGAGCCTACCCTGGCTCGTGTCCTGTGGGCTCAAGGATGCCTGGGCAGGAGCAGTGCCTCCTCGGAAGGAGGGCTAGGGCACTCAGTGTCTTCGGCAGCCTGCCACCAGCCTGGCTTAGTGACCCTCCAGAGGCAGCTCTCCACCCAGGAGAGGCATGAGGCCTGGGGTCAGTTTCTGACTCTTCCACTGCCTGGCCACACGATGCCAGGTACATCACATAACCTCTCTGAACTTCACTTTCAGTCTGGGAGACTGTGAGCATGAAGACATCTTGTCTGAGGGCCAGAGGGCATCCATTTCAGGCAATAGAGAAAGAAACTTCAGCCCCATAGAAAAACCACCAGATGGATCAGTGTTTCTGGGGCTAGTTCACACCAGCCTCCATCTCCATGAGAACAACACTGATGTATGTGCACTAATTCACTTACTCACTGCAGATCATAGCACCTCCCTGGAGCCCAGGACTTCACCATGAACCTAGGGTCTGGCCCAGAGAAATACCACCTGCTAGCTACTTAGTGATTCTCATATATGAGAATTCTCATATATTCTCATATGTTTATATGAACACCAAGTAGGCCAGTAGTAAGTTTCAGCCACAAAGAAGCTCCCCTTTCTCCACCCCACACAGCTGAACCAGAGCAAGTGTGGGATTGAGCTGCACAGGTGTTTGTGGATAAGTGTGGGTGTGTGAGAAGAACCCCAAACTGGGTCAGAATGGATTCCATCCTTGGGGTTTCAGAATAGGAGGCTGGGCCCCGCTCTGGCCTCCTCCTCCTCCACCCTAGTTTCGACTCCTCTCCCACCGTGGAGGGGTTGGCATCACCCAGAGCAGTGTAGCATGCTGAGGGACTCTTGAACACCCAGCGGGGCTCCAGGCCCTGAGCAGAGAGGGAGAGGAGAGGCCGAGAAGAGCACTCTGCCTGGAGAGGCCATCTTAGTCTCCTCTTGACTTCCAGGCAGTCTGAAGAGGATGGCCAGCCCACACCAGCCCTCCGTTCTTCAGAAGGTCAGAGGGTGGAGGAGTGGGAGAACTCTAGCCTACCCTGAGCCCCAGGGGCCCTGGGAGGGCTCTCAGCTTGTCTTCCTCCCTGGCAGAGCCACTTCCCTTTTCCAGCCCCTGATTTTCCTCTGGGTTTAATGGGCAGCCCTTGTCATCCTGTGACTCCGGAAGATGGCACTAGAGCCCATCTACAGCCCCTCCACCGGCATGCATCTCTCGCCCCCCCATCCCCACCCTTGACACAAGCTGAGCAGCAAGACTTTGGGTTTAGGGAAAGGATTTTCTTTTTGCTCTTTAGGTAGCATTTATGACCAGATCAGCATTGAGTGTGTACAAACCAGAGACAAAGGAACCTGAGAAATGAAGCCTAATGGCATCCCAGGGCA